TAAGGCACGGCTCAGGCAGCTGGCTAAGGTCTGCAGCGTAAAGCTCGTAGGTTGCAAATGTTCAGTCTGATACAGCAGGGCTCGTCTGTTCCAAAAGGGTTCAAGCTATTGCAACCGGGTTCAGTCTGCTGGAGCATGTTTGAGCCTGCTGCAGCAGGGTTCAGTCTGCTGGAGCATGTTTGAGCCTGCTGCAGCCGGGTTCAGTCTGCTGGAGCATGTTTGAGCCTGCTGCAGCCGGGTTCAGTCTGCTGGAGCATGTTTGAGCCTGCTGCAGCAGGGTTCAGTCTGCTGCAGAAAGGTTCAGACGGTTGTAGGAGACTTATAGCAGCCTGAATCTTGGAACAAAATCTTGAACTCTCCAACTACAGCCTGAAAACTTTTTTCAGCATCGAAAGGGTTCTTCAAGCCCCTTTACCGAAGGGTTTGGGATGCTGTATAAGGGTTTAAAATGCTGTAGTAAATTCATGATGCAGTTGAACGTAAAATCTGTTGTAGGAGGGATTGATGCTGCTGTATACGGTTCAGGCTCTTATAACAGTACCTCCACATCCACCAGTCCCTCCTCATCCACCAGTACTTCCACATCGACCAGTACCTCCACATCCACCAGTACCTCCACATCCACCAGTACCTCCACATCCACCAGTACCTTCGTTGCTACAGGTGAGGGCCGTGGGATGAAGATGCAGCCTCCACCGAAAGAGCAGGAAAATAGGCTATCAATAACAATTCTAAATAATACTGGAAATGACAGCCACAGAATAAGGGTGGATAGAGGGAAGGAAAAAGGAGATGGGAAGCCAAATGTGAACCTCATCCCGTTGGTCAAAGTTCATCCCGATGAAGTGGCATAGTCAAATGTTCAAAAGTTCAAAGAGGCGAAAGCTGTGGCAGCGTAGAAAATGGGTGATGTGGTGGTGATGGGTAGATGGTATTGGCTCTGTGGTGGAACCGTGTGGGGTGAGAGAGAGAGAGAAGATTAAGCCACCCAAAAGGTGGCATGGGCATGAATAGCCCATAAGTGGTGGCCCTTTTGAGCCATTTCCAGTATCAATAGATGATACTGGAGATCTGTGGAGGTACAACTGCACCCTGCGTGACGGGAGATGTCTCCCGGGCGTGTGGGGTGTTTTGCTTGGAGATTAGTGTACCTCGGGGCCCATTGAATCCTTCGAGGGATTGTGTTAAGTGACCAAGGTGAATATTAATTGAATTCTTACACAGGATTGTGGGTGGGGGGGGGGCGGCAAGGAAGGAACTATCAGGGGGAAAGCACCAAGCCATTACGACTATATAGCACTGGGAAGGGGTCAGGATAAGGATTTGGGATGGGACGGGGGGGAAGGAATGGTGTCTAACCACTTGGATGGTCTCGGGGGGGTTGAACGCCGACCTGCATGAAGCGAGACCGTCGTTCTACCGTCCAGCCCAAGTGGTTGGACGGGGGGGGAGGGGGGGGGGGGAACAAACAAGCATTACTTCGTTAACACAAGAGTTTGCTTCAGAGGGAAGTAAAACAGCCTACTTGTTTTGTGTTACTTATGTGTTATACTCAAATTCTGTCAGTTGAAATGTAACCAATCACAGGCAAGTAGGCCTCTGACGTCATGCCAGACAGAGGAGCATCAAGCCATGCCACGAACAAGGCAAACGAATATATGTATTATAAGTGATTTGTCCGAGTTGGTTGATTATCTATCTGATTAGAGAGAGGAAGGATTGGAAAGTTATTGGAGATTATCATCGTTCTATCACCTGAACAAGTGTGTCTGTTAGTCTATTCTGAACAGTTTGTCTGTTATTTAAGCCACTGTAACATTGTAACCTCCAGGAACCATAGTACCATACAACAGACACAGGCCCGCATGTTTGTTCATTGGTACAAACACCAAGCCTGGAACAACGCTGTGAGCTTGTGAACCACCTCCACGACCCTCAAGTGACATAAACAAACGCTGCGCTCATTGCCCTAACATGCGTCGTTTGAGAAATCGAATGTGAGTATAAATATAAATCGAGTTTATCTGTGGTTCTAAATGTCCTAAAGTGGTCTAGGCCCGGGGGACGGTAGCCATGGGGGACAGTGACCATAGGGGATGGATAGTGGTCCAATCTGACCCTGGGGGATAGATCTGGCAGACTTCATTAAGCTGCCTATCTTAACTGTCGCGATCCAGAGAGGAAATGCTTGATGTATCTTGGGCACGCCGCCCCCCTAAACAGCTGGAAGAGGTCTTTCAACAGTGATTTGTTATTTGTGTCTGTGTGTTCTCTAAACCATAACGCAATATAATAAAATCAATCAAATAAATAAATCATAATATATATATTTATATATAAACCTAGAAGGGGTACCACCTCTGGTGCAAGTGTAGGGACCCATAGCCTTGGAGAAGAAAATAAAGAGTACTCAGAGAAGACCTTGTGGATCCTCACTGAACACTTTGATATTTATTATATTATATTGTATATATTGATATTTATATATTATATTCTTTTTCAAACTAAAGAAAGTATTACGAGCAATTTGATTAGCTTTTTCAATAAAAGACGAAGTATTTTCAATTTGCAGATTATAATAATAATCCAATGTGCAAATTATCGAATGGAAGTTATTAAGGTGTTTTCTTTACAAACATTTATATTATATTTTTTGGCCAAGAAAATAATTTTCTTGAGTATTCTAACCGTTAAAAAGATCCGTTTTTTTCCGTTAATATGACCCGTTATTGTGACCGTTACGGCCGCTCCGGTTTTTGCTTGAATTTGAATATTATCCGTTGTTTCAACCGATAATGTGACTCGTTATTTGAACCATCAAGGAAGCCTCTTATTTTCACCCAAAATCCCACACAAAGTTTTAGCCATTATGCAGGCGATGAGTCACAATAACGTGGCTGAAGTATGTTGACCAGACCACACACTAGAAGGTGAAGGGACGACGACGTTTCGCTCCGTCCTGGACCATTCTCAAGTCGATTCTCACAATCGACTAGAGAATGGTCCAGGACGGACCGAAACGTCGTCGTCCCTTCACCTTCTAGTGTGTGTGGTCTGGTCAACAGTAGCACACATCAGTAGCAGTGACACCCCCCTCACCCCACACACCAGTAGCAGTGACCCCTCACCCCACACACCAGTAGCAATGACCCCTCACCCCACACACCAGTAACAGTGACCCCTGACCCCACACACCAGTAACAGTGACCCCTGACCCCACACACCAGTAACAGTGACCACTCCTCACCCCACACACCAGTAATAGTGACTCCCCTGACCCCACACACCAGTAACAGTGACCCCTCACCCCACACACCAGTAGCAGTGACCCCTCACCCCACACACCAGTAGCAGTGACCCCTCACCCCACACACCAGTAGCAGTGACCCCTCACCCCACACACCAGTAACAGTGACCCCTCCTCACTCCACACACCAGTAGCAGTGACCCCTCACCCCACACACCAGTAGCAGTGACCCCTCAACCCCACACACCAGTAACAGTGACCCCTCAACCCCACACACCAGTAACAGTGACTCCCTGACCTCACACACCAGTAGCAGTGACCCCTCACCCCACACACCAGTAGCAGTGACCCCTCAACCCCACACACCAGTAACAGTGACCCCTCACCCCACACACCAGTAGCAGTGACCCCTCACCCCACACACCAGTAGCAGTGACCCCTCACCCCACACACCAGTAACAGTGACCCCTCACCCCACACACCAGTAGCAGTGACCCCCCCTCACCCCACACACCAGTAGCAGTGACACCCCCCTCACCCCACACACCAGTAGCAGTGACCCCTCACCCCACACACCAGTAACAGTGACCCCTCACCCCACACACCAGTAGCAGTGACCCCCCCTCACCCCACACACCAGTAGCAGTGACACCCCCCTCACCCCACACACCAGTAGCAGTGACCCCTCACCCCACACACCAGTAACAGTGACCCTCAACCCCACACACCAGTAACAGTGACTCCCCTGACCCCAACACCAGTATCAGTGACCCCTCACCCCACACACCAGTAGCAGTGACCCCTCAACCCCACACACAGTAGCAGTGACCCCTCAACCCCACACACCAGTAGCAGTGACCCCTCAACCCCACACACCAGTAGCAGTGACCCTCAACCCCACACACCAGTAACAGTGACCCCTCACCCCACACACCAGTAGCAGTGACCCCTCACCCCACACACCAGTAACAGTGACCCCTCACCCCACACACCAGTAGCAGTGACCCCTCAACCCCACACAGCAGTACCAGTGACCCACCCTCACCCCACACACCAGTAACAGTGACCCCTCAACCCCACACACCAGTAGCAGTGACCCCTCACCCCACACACCAGTACCAGTGACCCACCCTCACACACCAGTAGCCGTGACCCCTCACCCCACACACCAGTAGCCGTGACCCCTCCTCACCCCACACACCAGTAACAGTGACCCCTCACCCCACACACCAGTAGCAGTGACACCCCCCTCACCCCACACACCAGTAGCAGTGACCCCTCACCCCACACACACACCAGTAACAGTGACCCCTCAACCCCTCACCCCACACACCAGTAGCAGTGACCCACCCTCACCCCACACACCAGTAACAGTGACCCCTCAACCCCACACACCAGTAACAGTGACCCCCCCCCTCCCACACACCAGTAACAGTGACCCCTCACCCCACACACCAGTAGCAGTGACCCCTCAACCCCACACACCAGTAGCAGTGACCCCTCAACCCCACACACCAGTAGCAGTGACCCCTCAACCCCACACACCAGTAGCAGTGACTTCCCGTGGCGACCCTATCCTAGTTAGACAGAGCCAGACACGAAGACTTGCCCACACCGTGGCCAGAGTAAGGTGTGTGGTGTGGACAAGAAGAGGAACATCTCAAGACACAACACACACACTCAGGACCCGGCGCAGTGAGCGACACGCTGGATATCGAAGCTAATTTAGTTGCAAATCTCCGTAAGTGCTCACCTGGGCGCGCTAGAAGGCCGCAGAGGAGCAGCAGCAGCAGCAGGTAGCGGTAGAGACAGCAGAAGGAGCAGCAGGCCAGTGGCGAGGGGTTACTGCTGCCGGAGCTAGCCATCGTCCTACTGAAGATAGACTTTCCCGCTGCTGGAGACAGCGAACATGGGTTTCCTGATGGAGAGAAGCGGTGGAGATGGCTCTCCTGATGGAGTGCCTGTTAGCGGAGACCTGGGGAAGATGGAGATCCTGATGGAGAGACTGTAAAGATTGCCTTTCTGATAGACCGTCTCCTTCGGCGTAGGTTGATGGGTTGATAGTAGAGATGGTCTGACGAGGGAGTTAGCCTTACTAGGGGAAGGAATGGTCTGTTCCACCTTGAGCAGCTGTCTAGTATTGCTGAAACTTCACCACCTACGAAGCCTCCGCTGGTGGAGTCATCTTATAATGGATTCTAAAACTGATTTGGATTTATACAACTTGAGAAAATAAAGTCTCTTTTCGCTTTTTTTTACATCTCTGCATTAAATAAATTGTGTTAAAATAATTACCTGGAAAATTGGGATAAAAATTATCCCAATTTTTTCATCCTACGCAAGGATAAAAAATTCTAAAATTGGATCAAACTAAAAACTTAAAAAAAATGTGAAGAGAAAAAACCCACACACACTTTCGGGCAGTAAGTTACATGTTACGGAGCACGTAACAATAGTGGCGGAGTATTCATTTCCATATACGTCAACTCACATAATGTGAGGCTTGTTTGATTTTGTTCACGGTAGGATGGTAGTTCATATGCTGGTTAAGGTCACAGTGACGCTACTGGTCCGCACAGTAGTAGAGGTCAAGACAGTCTGGTCACAGTAGTGGGGGTCATGACAGTGGTCACAGTAGGGACCATAACAGTGGTCACAGTAGGGGCCATAACATTAGTCACAGTAGGGACCATAACAGTGGTCACAGTAGGAGCCATAACAGTGGTCACAGTAGGGACCATAACAGTGGTCACAGTAGTGGGGGTCAAGACAGTCTGGTCACAGTAGTGGGGAGTCATGACAGTCTGGTCACAGTAGTGGGGGTCATGACAGTCTGGTCACAGTAGTAGGGGTCATGACAGTGGTCACAGTAGTGGGGGGTCATGACAGTCTGGTCACAGTAGTGGGGGTCATGACAGTCTGGTCACAGTAGTGGGGGTCATGACAGTCTGGTCACAGTAGTGGGGGTCATGACAGTCTGGTCACAGTAGTGGGGGTCAAGACAGTCTGGTCACAGTAGTGGGGAGTCATGACAGTCTGGTCACAGTAGTAGGGGGTCATCACAGTGTGGTCACAGTAGTAGAGGTCAAGACAGTCTGGTCACAGTAGTGGGGTCATGACAGTCTGGTCACAGTAGTGGGGGTCATCACAGTGTGGTCACAGTAGTAGAGGTCAAGACAGTCTGGTCACAGTAGTGGGGTCATGACAGTCTGGTCACAGTAGTGGGGGTCATGACAGTCTGGTCACAGTAGTGGGGGTCATGACAGTCTGGTCACAGTAGTGGGGGTCATGACAGTCTGGTCACAGTAGTGGGGGTCATGACAGTCTGGTCACAGTAGTAGAAGCCATAACAGTGGTCACAGTAGGGACCATAACAGTGGTCACAGTAGTAGGGACCATAACAGTAGTCACAGTAGGAGCCATAACAGTGGTCACAGTAGGAGCCATAACAGTGGTCACAGTAGGAGCCATAACAGTAGTCACAGTAGTAGGAGCCATAACAGTGGTCACAGTAGTAGGAGCCATAACAGTGGTCACAGTAGTAGGAGCCATAACAGTGGTCACAGTAGGAGCCATAACAGTGGTCACAGTAGGAGCCATAACAGTAGTCACAGTAGTAGGAGCCATAACAGTGGTCACAGTAGGAGCCATAACAGTAGTCACAGTAGTAGGAGCCACAACAGTGGTCACAGTAGTAGGAGCCATAACAGTGGTCACAGTAGGAGCCACAACAGTGGTCACAGTAGTAGGAGCCACAACAGTGGTCACAGTAGGAGCCATAACAGTAGTCACAGTAGGAGCCATAACAGTAGTCACAGTAGAAGCCATAACAGTGGTCACAGAAGGAGCCATAACAGTGGTCACAGTAGGTGGCCAGGACCATTAAGGCTGGTTATCAATAGTTCCAGACAACCTCAGTTATTAACCTATATTTCTTCGGCCAATTATTGACCCGAAGATGACCTGCCGCCAAGACACTACAAGACAATGGTAACTTTGTCCACCAGACAAAGTAACTAGTTTAGCACATTCAAAAGTATTTTTCACATTATTAAAAGTTATCAAATCAAAAATCTGTCTGTCACATAAGTTAGATCACTTAGCGCCTGAAGAACTGTCTCTTAATTACTAAATTAGCGCCTCCGCTTGAACCACCTTTGCGGGGGAAAGGATATCACTCATTTAAGACTAAATTATCCATTGTCTTAGTATGAAGGAGGTCGTTAGACATCAGGCTTTTACCGTTCATTCTTGGTAACTATCGTTAACACCTGTAGTAGTGGTTGTTGGCGTTCTACGGTAGTTAAGAGCTCATTCTCGTCATTGTAATCCACGAGAGGCTACGGATTAGACCCGGTGTGGACGCCACTTTCTGAAAGGGGGGAAAGATAGTGTCATACTAGAGGGAGGCCGCGTGGGACGAGGGAGATGAGGGGAGGACGTGTGTCCCCTCCCGCAGCTGGTGTGGCACTGACGATCCGGACCGTGTCTGACTCCGGCCTGGCACCCGAGGCACCACACACACACACCGCCCTCACACGCCGCTAATTGGTTCAGATGCGCTAGATGCCACAGGACCCCTTCAGGCGCTCCTGGCTCCCTTAGGTCGCTTGCTACGGTGTACTGTGAAGGGGGAGGGTTGCTGGGTTACTGTTTCATCTCTAGCACGCTGCATGGAGGCGTAAACAACGGTGTGGTTCAGGTGTGTGACGGTGTGGGTGATTATTGATGGTGTTTATCATGTGTTGATTAATTCCCGGAATTTTATTGACGTAATCAACTAGCTAGACGACATTGACGTGGTCGTTACAGTGTAACTACTGTACCGTAGTTATCATAACTACCCAGACGGCCATTGGAGGCTTGGGCAGAGTTACAGCCACTGGGAAGTTAAGAGCCATGAATTTGCTCTACAAGATCAACTCACTGACTCAAGTTTATTGTAGTTCGAGAAATTTCTTGACAATACAAATGGTTTTAGTGATAGGTGGATCAGTGAGCGGTAATGGTTGTTGGCGTATAATACAAGGCTAACAAGCTGGCTGGCTGTCTTGCTTCTTACGATGGTTCTGTAGTTAGCAGTGCCACGGAGTAACTTCTTGCTTCTCACTTAGCGAGAACGAGGGCGGTTACTGAGCTAAGCGGCTCTCTGCTCTTACCTTCCTCGCTAAGCTCTCTATATCTTCCTCTAACATTACAAAAGGGAACGCAAAATAACTCGTGCTTGTAACAGATGTTAACGAGTTCCAAGGATAAGACTGTGGAAGTTCTTACATCCTTGAAAGATCTTCACTTCAATTTGCAGCCTCTCGGTCTGTCGGCCGAGCGGACAGCACGCTGGACTTGTGATCCTGTGGTCCTGGGTTCGATCCCAGGCGCCGGCGAGAAACAATGGGCAGTTTCTTTCACCCTATGCCCCTGTTACCTAGCAGTAAAATAGGTACCTGGGTGTTAGTCAGCTGTCACGGGCTGCTTCCTGGGGCTGGAGGCCTGGTCGAGGACCGGGCCGCGGGGACACTAAAGGCCCGAAATCATCTCAAGATAACCTCTCTTGCAACCCCAATTGCAGCTCTCCTTGCACACCCAATCTTGCATCAACTCTTGCAGTCCTCTTCCAAGCTTGCACTAATCAGCAAACCTGGCCACTAATCTGGAAGAATGCCAGGCTTGTGGTCGGCCACAATGACAGAAGCAAGATATCAGAAGGAAGCAGTTATCCTTGCTCTCAGTCATGCCGAAGGTATTTGACCAAATCTTTGCTTAGAGACAAGAGAAGGTCTTTGATAACAATTACTAAATAAAAAGCAATTTGGTTTTACTGATAAAAAGAAGCACATGGTATGACCTACAGATGCCCAGAAATAGGTCAAATGCCTCGACAGTGTCTTGTGAGACATAGTCTTGGATGCTGCCGGAGCATTTGCTAGTGTCTGGTGCATTAAAAGACTGGTTTGCAACATTAAAGAGACTTGGAGTTGATATTAATCTTGTGCACAACATTGCAAACTGCTTAAGCAACCAATCCTCAAGCAACTAATCCTTAAGCAACCAATCCTTCCAGGTCGTGTTTAACAATCATTCGGATTCCCTTCCTTTACAACATCTACTTCACTGACATCCTGAACCTTAACTACAGCCCATCAATGACCACATTAGGAGTGGAAATTGGTAAAAAAACTGTCCTTCACAACACAAAAAAATGCGTTGGGACAGACAGACAGACAGACAGACCACTTTCGACGCTCTTAATTACCCGAAATACGTAACATCATGGAACGAGTTTCGAGAACAGATGACCACCAAAATATAGTGTCTTCAAATTTTCAAAACTGTTGTTACTAACCGGTTACTAACACCCAATCCTATTCAACCGAATTATTGAATCCCAACACTTGCTACCTAGACGGAACACCCCTACAGCTCCTCCTTCCACGCTTTCACCAATAAAAAAATGACCTAATCAAAAAAGTTATGAAAGTAATTATAATGGTCAATTATAAATGACTTATAATAATTATAAGCAACCAACTTTACTAATAATTTACCAATAATTTACTTTACCAATAATTTAAAAACAAATAAAATTATTATATATATATGAAAGTACAGTACATAGGTATGATATATTGTCAAGTTATTCTGAGAAACATCTGCGCATCTTCATATCAAACCCCAAAAACAGACAGAACATGTCTTGGCATAGAGAACATGTGTAGTAATACCTGTAACACTTCCCTCTAGTCTGAAACGTCGTCACTTTCTGTCATGTGTGAGTTGGGTTGTTTATTAATCCTTCAATGTCACGAGAAAGTTAAACTAGAATTTTCTGCAAGAGTTGTGGTGGCCACGACAGCTTGAGCGGAGATGAGGGAGATCCAGGGAGGCTGGAGACACAACCCACCAGCCTCCAGTTGAAGTCTCCATCGATCTGGTGTGGCGGTAAGGTATGTGTGTGTGTGTGTGAGATGGGAGAAGGAGGGAACAGGTGTGTAGTGAGGGAGGGAAGGCGGGGCAGGTGTGTAGCGTGGGTAGGGAGGATGGTGTGTGGTAGGGAAGAAGTCATGATATATGTTGGGCAAGGTAGAGGTAACACATACAGGTGGGAGGAGGGGGGGGTGTAGTGAGGGGGTAGTGGGGGGGGGTGGGGGGTTGGGGGGTGTAGTGGGGGGTTGGGGGGGTGTAGTGGGGGGGGGGGTTGGGGGGAGGGGGGGATTGAAGACCATAAAGACTCAAATTTCCGGTTTGCAACTTCCGGTTTCTTTTTAAGCTCCCTCAGGTTCTTGTTTGCAATTTCCGGTTTGCAACTTTTCCATTGGCTACACGACCGTCAATAGTTTTGTAATGTTTCATATTTAGCTTCTCGACACAACTCTATTTAGTTAAACCGTTCACATTATTATCATATATATTTTTCTTCCTGAAGGTTTTGACATTTCTTGCATTGTTAAATGTATCCCTTAATATAATATTAGTTGATGTACACTTCTCTCCTCTTTCCCCTCCTCTTCAGTAACTGGAGAATGAACAAGGTGTAGAGCTCCATATACCTCTATACCTGCAGGTATTAAGAGAGCAACGACATGCTATTCCTAAATTCTGTTTTGAAAAGAATGAGATTGGACTGAGAGCTTTGTCACCTGTAGCCACTTGCCACAGGTTACGGTAGCCACCTGGCATAGGTAACGGTAGCCACCTGCCACAGGTAACGGTAGCCACCTGTCACAGGTAACGGTAGCCACCTGCCACAGGTAACGGTAGCCACCTGCCACAGGTAACGGTAGCCACCTGCCACAGGTAACGGTAGCCACCTGCCACAGGTAACGGTAGCCACCTGCCACAGGTAACGGTAGCCACCTGCCACAGGTAACGGTAGCCACCTGTCACAGGTAACGGTAGCCACTGTGTCGCATCATCTGGTTAGTGTTTTATTCTGCCCATACACATAGGAATTTCGTACCTAAACGAATCATAACTTTTCATACCGGTGCTTTCAGGCCTTTGAGTATTTGTGATTTGTCTCTCATCGCAAATAATAATTTGGAACAATATAATGTCGATAACAGCTTTGTACAATGAAGATTAAGTTGCTTTGTCTGCTATCATGACCATGCGTTATGCTGGAATGATATGTTATCACTGCTGCAAGTCTTGCTATCTTGCTAGAGAAGCTGGAGCCTGAAGATAAGCGTTCAATCATAGAATATTTCTTTTTTTTTCTTGTGTTTAGTGAACTGTACACTACGCACACGGGAATCTGTACACCAGTAGATTGACGGTTGAGAGGCGGGACCAAAGAGCTGAAGCTCTACCACCGCAAGCACAACTGGGTGAGTACACGCACGCACATCATATGATATGAAAACAGAATATGGTGGAGAAATATGACAAGGAGTCATTGCTTTAAACAACCGGCGGCTAGAAAGGCGGGACCCAAGAGCCAATGCTCGATCCTGCAGGCTCAAATAGGTGAGTGTACACACACACACACTCAGAGATATTAGAAAGAACTTTTTTAGTGTCAGAGTGGTTGACAAATGGAAACATTAGGCAGTGATGTGGTGGAGGCTGACTCCATACAGTGTTTCAAATGTAGATATGATAGAGCCCAGTAGGCTCAGGAACCTGTACACCTGTTGACTGACGGTTGAGAGGCGGGACCAAAGAGCCAGAGCTCAACCCCCGCAAACACAACTAGGTGAGTACACGTGTGCTTCCATAACAGCAGGACAACAGTAAGACAATAGAGTGACTATAGACGCTGGGAGCCCTGACAAGAGAGAGAGAGAGAGAGAGAGAGAGAGAGAGAGAGAGAGAGAGAGAGAGAGAGAGAGAGAGAGAGAGAGAGAGAGAGAGAGAGAGAGAGAGAGAGAGAGAGAGAGAGAGAGAGAGAGAGAGAGAGAGAAAGAACACATCCTCCTGAATATCAAATCCTTAACCTAGTCTCATCAACAGCCACTTCTATCCTCTTTGCTTAACTCTAGTGTCTGGCTGTTTGCTCTTGTTAACGTGGTGTCTATGTTTGTGTCTTTGTTCGGTAATGATATAATGTATCCTGTTTGTCTTCGTCTCTTTGTGTCTGTTTTTTGTTCTGTTTAAGTATAATTACGACTGCTTACATCTACTTGTTTAATTAACAGACATGTATAACATCACAGTTACATGTGTGATAAGACCCTCGAACCATCAACCATGTAGACAGCAGCCAACATTCTAAATAAAAGCTTTGCAACATCACTTCCCCCTTTAGCACTACCATTACACCTCATCAGAGCTAGCTCTATTACCATAACAACACCACCCCCTCCTCCTACCACCATTCCTCACCCCCCCCCCTCCTACCACCATCACCCATGATGATGCTGGTTACATCAAGTCATTGTGAAGCTGTCCCCTCTGGGCTCTCGCTCCGGCTCCAACAGCGGGCGACCCGGCCCAGCAACGCAGGCCTGCTAAATAGCCTT